TGGTGTGGAGTTGGCGTCAAGCCGGGCCCACTGTTGAATTGTTTCTCCCTGAGCTGGAAACTGGTAAGTCTGGGCAGCAACCTTACCTGGGCTTCAATCAATCTCTTCGGGCAAGCAAGAAAATGGAACCTCCTCTCGCCCTCGAGGGTCCTTCAAGGTCAGGCAAGTCGCCAGGCCTTTCATCGGGTCGCTAGCATGAGCTATTGGGCTTGTTGCACCCCCCCCGACGAAGGAGGGCTGGATCGCAGAATTTGCCTCTCCTCCCCAATTGAGTCCTTTTACTTCCCAAGTCTTCCGTAGCCTTAACCGGTTGGCAAGTTGATGAGCATCGCTTCAGCCGAGCCTTGAGTGATGGGGAGCGTCAAGAAGAGAAGAGGAGCTGGAACATGAATATGGCAACGGCAACTTTGAACGGAACGCCCAAATTTTTTTCAACACTCCGGCTCCAACTCATTTTGAGAACACCCCGCCCTCCTTTGGTGGCCGAACTCTGAACCCCTGCGCCTTCGGGCCGCGCCTTCGCTTTGGCCTGGCAGGGTGCTGCCAACTGCGTGCCGCCCCTTTCAGGAGCGAAACGGGCTTGCCCTTCTGTCTTTTGGTGTCAAGCTGTTGCCCTGGAAAATTCGGTATTTGGAATGTGGCCTTTCAAACTTGGCCTGCAAATTGAAGCAAGGTGCGCAATGAAACGAAATGTGGGATCCTCAATTACGGGAAGCAGCTATTTTCTGGCGCGAGCGCTTGAATTTCTTTACAACTTGTACAAAGCGGCAGACGCTTCCCTTCCTTATGCTTGTCCAGGATCAAAAGGGCGGTCCGAACCCCCAATGCCAGCGTTGTGTGTCTGCCTAGCAGGGTCTGTGGCTTCTGTCAGGATCTTCTTTGGGCGATCCGGCAATACGTTTAACCATCAGCTGGTCTTTCGATGATGAAATGCCGAAAACTCCAGCTTGTTTCACTGAGCCACGCCGAGATGGCTGGCAGAATTCCGCCCACTTGCAGAATCTAAATCTTGGGAATCAACCGAAGTGGATTTGGAAAAAACAAAACAAAACAAAACAAAACAACACAACACAACACAACACAACGCAACACAACACACCACACCACACCACACACACACACACGCAGCGCGCGCACGCACAACTCACTTGTCGATCCACGCGAGCACGTCAGAGACGACCCGACGCCTTGGCAGGCGAGGCGAGCTTCGCCTTTGGCTCCGACTTGGCTTTGGTCACCTGCGACGATTCGTCGACCTGCCCTTGGGTGGTCACGGGTTTTGTCAGGACATGTGTGCGTGGGCGTGTGTGTGTGTGTGTGTCTCGAAAAGGAAATCCATGTTGGTTCACTTTGAGAGTGCTCTGTTCATAGAACCACACGCGGCTGCATCCGGGTTTGACTCAGCTACGTGCCGCTCACCTGAACCCTCCAAAAGTACTGAAATTTCCGTACATGCAGAAGAAAAACGTCAATGTACTATTTGAGGAAATTTGACGGAAATCGCTTTGTAGCAGGCTGTGAGCGTTTGTGGTGCACATGGATGCACATGAACACAGTTTGCAATTTACATGGCCCGTCATAGTTAATTCCGTTTCAGGTCATTCGTCTCCTATTGCTGTGGGGCAACATGTGACAGCTTCCTTGCCGCTTTTGCGAGTTTGCAGTTTTCTCAGCCAAAAGGCAGAAACCGGAAATGCACGGAAATCGGCGGGAAATGCACAAAAATCGGCGGAAAAAGTACGGAAATCTGCGGAAAAAGTACGGAAATCAGCGGAACATTTGCTTGGGAAAATTCGCACCTTTTGTCCTTGATGAATTGCACACCTTCAAAAGGTTTTTCTTGGCCCATGAGCATGACAATCTCCAGTGCCAGGGCCGGAGCTGAACGTGAGATTCTTGTAGAAAAAGTCGTTGAATGCTCCTGTCTCTTGCGTTGAGCCTGCAAGAAAAGTACAGTTTTTGCTCAAATGTATGGATTTCAAGGAAATGCACGGATTTTTGCAGACAGCCGCAAAAAAAGTGCACTTGGTTGGTCCAGGCATGTCGCCCTTGTCGAAGCAACACGTGTGGAGGGGGGGCATGTCCATAGCACTCCTTTTACAGGTTGTCTAAAAGGACCATCGCCCTGATCCCCAAGTACTCACATCTTTGGATCATGGCAATGGCAACCACAACCAATCATGGCCGGGCAAAAAGTGAGTTGGGTTCCCTGTGAAGGGAAAACTGTATTCGTCGACAGCAAGGACACCAAAACCCGAGAGGACCCGAGAGGACCCGAGAGGACCCGAGAGGACCCGAGAGGACCCGAGAGGACCCGAGAGGATGTGAGGGGACCCGACAAAATGCGATCTCTAGAGGGCTCTGGTGCTACAGCAATTGCCAGGTCTGCCAGTCGCATCTCGCTCCCGTGGCCTGCTGGCACCCAATTTTGGGGGGGGCCCTCCAAAGGCTCGCCTTGGCCTCCTTCACGGACTTTGCTTCCTTGGGCTCGTCCTTCTCCCTGGCTCCGAGTGGCTTGAGCTGCTTGCAGACACGTGTTTGACGGAAATGTTCTGCCGCTGTACTATCATCCACCTTCACCTGCTGCAACGTATGGAGTAAAGTTGGCCAGTGAAGCCTTGAGGGTGCTGTACAGCCTTGTGTTCACTGATGATGCAACTGTCTCACTTGTCCGCCGGAAATCTGGCCCAGCTTCTTGCGCTCACTTTGCTGTTTGAATGGCCATTTCTCCTCTTAGGGGCCATGAACCGATTGGACGGGAATACGTTCGCGATGTAGTTGGAGTGGACTGAGAGAACCGATCATTGGGGACTTGTACACTTCATGTGTACGATGCACTTCACCAGAATGCTGTGAGAGCTGTGGGTTGAGATCAGCTAGGAACCGGGGGAAAGTTGATAGTAACGCTCCACTGGCTCAAGCTTCAAGAAGAGGAGCATTGCACGAGTTGTCCATCTGGTGTCCTCCAAACACCCACAAATCAAATCTAACACATTCCCCGAAGGCCACCACTTCAGACCTAGACAACTGCTCAAACATGAAGGCTTGGATCGGAGTTTGCCTGGTGAACTCTGGTTGGAAGGGGATAGCGACCTCCCACATGTGCCATTGGACTTTCACCTGAACATGGCCGCATGCTATGACAAAATGGAAGAGAGCCATCCCTGCAAAACTATGTGGGCTCCTCCACATTTCCGCCTGCGCTCAAGAGTCCCGCAGCACCGGTGGCACCCTTTTAGATCTAAAACAGATGCGGCCGACGGTGTGTTCCGCGGAGGGCAGATCACCAGGCGGCACGCTGGCAATTGCTTGGACCTGCTACCTGCAATCGCAGGAAAAGACGGTGGCAGGTCGAAAAGGAAACGATTTGTTACCACAAAGCAACCGCTGGAATCCGGTAGGCCTGCGACTCGGACTCTAAACAAATTGCAGTACAACGACACACAGTTGGCCAATGGAACCTTGACTCTAAAAATGTGCTGTACTCACTTTGCCCAGTGGCCACAGAGAAAAGGACCCCTGTGCTGTGGGCATACTTCAAAAGAAGTCTTACCAAAAGAAAAACAAAATTCGCCACCGGGCAACTGGCACTAAACTATACCGGTGCCGAGGCCAAAAGCGCGCGCGCAGCTTGCGCTCCGCTTAGCACACCACACATCCACCGGAGGGCTTACCTGAGCTGGGAAGCTTGGCCAACTTTGTCTGGGGTAAGTTTCTGTCTGGGTGGTTACTACAAGTAAAATCAGGGACCCCAACGGATGGTTCTGTTCCTCTTGGTGTCCCTTCAAAGATAACAAGATGTAAAGAGTCCCCCATCGGTCTGGAAGGCCTGGGACTTGGTTCCCAAGTCATTTTGGGCTGGGCAGGATCGGATCCTTTGTAAACTCTGTGCGCGAATGGCCACCCGTCCAAACCACCCGACAACCCGGCAACCCGGCAACCCAGCAACCCGGCAGCCTAACACTTTGCCAAGCAACCCAACAATTCGGCCTTTGCGGGACAACTGGCCTAGCAAGAAAACCCAGAAACAATCAGCCGGACAAGCCACCCAACCAGTCAGCCAACCTACCAACCTGGCTTCCTTTGACGGGTTCAGCTAATGCCGCTTCTCGGCTCTTGGTTGGCCGATATAGGCAAGCAAGCAATGCATCTACCATTTCAGACTCTTGGGCGACCAGCTGCAGATTGCCAATGTCCACATTGTGTTTACTTTGAGATGAGGAAGGGCTCGCCTCGGGAAAGAGCCCATCGAAGCGGGCTATTGGGAACCTTTGTGACCGAAGGCGCCGCAGCCGCCCAGGCTGATCTCCATCTCGTAGAGGGCCATCTTCAGGTCGACCATGGTCCACACCTCGGCCGTGGGAATCGCCTTCAAAGGGCTCAGATCACCGAACTCGAAGGCCCAAACCAGTTGGATCCTTGCGCCAGTCGCATGACATTTGTAGACCTCGGCCGCACCCCCGGATTCGGCCTGTACCGTAAGGGGGAAGCCTAGGTTGGAAAGCAGATGCGCGAAGCAGTGCTAAGTTGACAAGTCAACTGATCCGTTTAAAACAGCATGCTATAAACGCTTCAAATCCTGGAGGCAGCTATGAGGCCAAAAACAAACAATGGACTCACCCGGCAATGAGTCAACCAACCAATCCGTCGCACCTATAAAACAGTCTATTCAATTCAAATAGACCCGCCAACCAAGTCATTGAATCGAGCAATCAACCAAATGAACAAACTGTCACAATGAGGGAATTAATGAAGGCAAACAAACAAACAAACAAACAAACAAACAAACAAAAAAAGTCTATAACCAACACGAAGGAACAACTTGGCTGGGTGGCTGGTTGGCTGGCTGGCTGGCTGGCTGGCTGGCGAACGAACGAACGAATCAATGAATCAATGCAAGGATGGATGGATGGATGGATGGATGGATGGATGGATGGGTGGGTGGGTGGATGGATGGATGCATGAACGGATGCATGGGTGGATGGGATGGGTGGATGGGATGGGTGGATGGAATGGGATGGGATGGGTGGATTGGATGGGATGGGTGGATGGGATGGGGGATGCATGAACGATGCATGGGTGGATGGGATGGGTGGATGGGATGGGTGGATGGGATGGGTGGATGGGATGGGTGGATGGGATGGGTGGATGGGATGGGATGGGATGGGATGGGATGGGATGGAAGGATGGAAGGATGGAAGGATGGAAGGATGGAAGGAAGGATGGAAGGATGGAAGGATGGAAGGATGGAAGGATGGAAGGATGGAAGGATGGAAGGATGGAAGGATGGAAGGATGGAAGGATGGAAGGATGGAAGGATGGAAGGATGGAAGGATGGAAGGATGGAAGGATGGAAGGAAGGATGGAAGGATGGAAGGATGGAAGGATGGAAGGATGGAAGGATGGAAGGATGGAAGGATGGAAGGATGGAAGGATGGAAGGATGGAAGGATGGAAGGATGGAAGGATGGAAGGATGGAAGGAGGAAGGATGGAGGATGGAAGGATGGATGGCTGGATGGATGGATGGATGGATGGATGGAAGGATGGAAGGATGCATGGAAGGATGGAAGGAAGGATGGAAGGATGGAAGGATGGAATGGAAGGATGGAAGGATGGAAGGATGGAAGGATGGAAGGATGGAAGGATGGAAGGATGGAAGGATGGAAGGATGGAAGGATGGAAGGATGGAAGGATGGAAGGATGGAAGGATGGAAGGAAGGATGGAAGGATGGAAGGATGGAAGGATGGAAGGACGGATGGACGGATGGAAGGAAGGATGGAAGGATGGAAGGATGGAAGGATGGAAGGATGGAAGGATGGAAGGATGGAAGGATGGATGGATGGAAGGAAGGAAGGATGGATGGAATCAATAAGTGGATTCATCACTGAATGAAGAATGGATGGATGAAGCTGCAGCTTAAGTCACTCACAATCGTTCTTTTCAACTAACAAGAAGGATCGCCTATCTCCTGGCCGCTCTTCTAAAATAATGTCCATGCCATACCGTTTAGTTACAAGCGTGATGATGGACAGGATTCCAGAAAGGAAGGAAGCGTCCATGACTGGCGAATGGTTGGTCACGATGAAAAACGAGGGCCCCGGGGCCACATCATGGTCATTTTGCAAACCCGCGCCCGCCACCCCACAGTCCCAATAGTGTTGCGCCCGGGCGCTAGGGGAGTGTTGTCGTTGGGCTGCCACTTGCCCTTCGCTAAATAGTAGGCCTGGCAGAGGGAAAGGGAACTGGCAAGTAACTCTTCACCTCTGGTGTGCACTTACAACTCCCGAACAACAAAATCAAAGGGTACAACTCACAGGGCAGCTTTCCTGAAACCATGAAAAACACCTCTCCCAAAGGACGGGGCCGTGCCACAGGCGGTGTCAAGATTGATTTGTCGATCCTCATGCTCTACTGCCACGATGATCCTGGGCTACGAATGTGTTTGGACCCGAAACCCAACCGATTTTTTGCCGGCTCGAGGAACAACCAAAGAAATAAGGTTCGGCAAACGGCGGATGCCCATTGGTGGGATCACCCTCTACCTGACAGCCTTCTTGGCTGGAAACTGAAGGATTGAAGAGTGGGCGTAGCTCGAATTGTGTCCATGAGGACCAGTTGTCTTCTATTGGCCCGGGCAAGCTCACACTTCAGCGGTAACATGTCAAACAACCCACATCCGCAGCCCAATTAACTTTCAAGTGGAAACGCCAAAGCGGCGTCACACAAGGCGCTGCGCAGGGCGCAGGGCAGTGCAACGCAGAACTTGCCTAGCCCTCCCCCGCCTCACAGCACATCCAGCCGCCTCAGCAATGATCTGAGCAAAACCAACCTCTGCGCTCAGGACGGCTCATTCAGCAACAACAAAGACAGCAAAGAGCCCTCAGCTCCCCCCCCCCTCGCCCCACAAAATCGCGTAGTTCATCGCTCCTTGTTCCGTGAGCTCATCAGGGTTTACCTTTTGGTCCCCTTGCTCGGGGTGAAAGTACACGCAGCCCCGTGTCCCGGAGCCTCTTTGCCTCGATCTTCCCATAAGAAGAAATCACAAGGCAACCAGAGCTTAGTATGATTGGGGATGCATCCATCCACGTTGAAGCCAGTGGTCTGACCATGACCTTAAACGCGTAGCGATCGTTGGAAGCCCCATCCACCACGGCAGTCTCGAGTGTCGTTTCCCTGACGAAAGTGCCACAGGTCAAAGGCAAATGTTGATCACGCAAACCTGCCTTCTTGCTTTGACACTAGAGCCATCAGGTGCGCGTTGTGCGCCTTTTGCTGTCCACATTTAAGTTCTATTGGTTGGCCGGGTGGCGATCAACACCTCCTTTCAGATGTAGACATATGTCTGAGCAAAGCACCCTGCAAAAGAAGCCGCGTGGTGAAAAGATCGCAGTTCCTACCTGTCAGCCATGGAGCCGAACTCGCAGTCGTCGCCTGTGATGGCAGCCAAAGACCTGGCTAACCGTCATAGATCGTCCCTTTGGAGCCATTGACTTGGTGC